TTCCCAACCCTTATGGAAACTTGATGCAACCACAGTCTTCTCATCTGTAAAGGAGGCTTATCCAGGTTGCTCAGCCAGGTTTAGGAGGGCAGAGGGAGTTCTCCTCGATGTAAGGGTCCTAGCAAGTTGTCCACGAGACCCTGTCGTAATGGAATCATCAAATACAGACATAGCAATCAGCCAAGCACAACTGAGAAGGGGCTGGGAAAAAGATTCACTGGCAAGTTCTGGGTTAAAGTGGAGAAATGGGGTCAGGAACAGGACAAACCAAGACAGAGACAGAATTCTCCCTGGTTATATTCCTGGGTATTCCCACCCTCAGGAGAGCCAGCTGGATTTAACTGAGCATGGCTGGGTGATTCAATATGGTGGCTGCCAGAGTATGCCCTGTACCCAATCCCCTGGCTGCTGGTGCCTGCAGGGCATCTCTCCTCTACAGAGCAGATCCTGGGCAGGATGGTCTAGTCTAATCCATAACCAATGAATATTTCATTTGAAATGACTCCCAGGAGAACAGATGCTCAAGATGTGCTTCTCGATTTGAAAATAGGAACACTCCTTAGAGTTGGGGTTGATAGAAGAGAGGACTATCATCTAATCCAGAAACACTCCCTGGAAATCAAAATCAATTACTTGCTTCAGCTTCATCTGGGACAAACCCATGTACTAAAAGTCTATTTTCGGCTTTGGAATAGAAGGGCTGTGCCTTCCGATGGCTCCCACTCTCTACTCCCCTCATCCTCGTCCTCAGCTGACCAACAGAAAGGTGCTCAGTGACCACTAAGACGGGTCAAAATGCCTCTGTTTTCTCACCAAAAATGGCACAGCCTACAGTAATTCTGTTCAGGTCCCTAACCTAGGATAGGAGTGCCGTAGGGGGTCTTGTTTTTACTACAGGGAATGAATGGGGAGATACTCTGACCTAGGGTTGCCAGATTTAGCAGAAAAAAATGCAGACCGATTAAATTTGAATTTCAGATAAAAAACAAATAATTTTTTAGTGTAAGTATGTCCCAAACACTGTATTTTATCTGGCAACCCTACCCTGACCCCTAGTAATGCTTACAGCTGAGGGAAGCCGGCTTGAGTCTAGGATGGAAAAACGTGGCCACTTTCCTGCCTCTTTTGAGTGAGGTTGACTCCTCAAAGAGGGATGAGGCCTGGTTGCGGGGGACAGGGACAGAGGGAGAGAGAAAATTTAAGAATTAAAAGACACGGGTCTCTTGTAAGTCCCTGGAACATGGCTGTAGTGTTAAAATACTGAGATTGCAGAAAAACATGAAATGACCAAAAAGGGCAAATGTCTGCGGTAATTAAAACAAAACATCACCAGGTTAGGAGTTAGAAGGCCAGTGTTCTAGTCTGCTGTTCCATCAACCAGCTGTGTGTCCTTTGAAGAGTCATCTGTCTTCTTTTTGGGCCTGAGTTTCCTCAACTGTTAATTGTCCTCTTGGGGCTCTAATATCTCACAAGTCTGGTTCTAAGAACGAGAGCACCACAGGTGAGTCTGTTTGTGAAATTGAGCATCGGGGCTGAAGACTGTGGCCTTTGTCCCACCTCTCCTGGCTCCTCCCTCTCCCAGAGGTCCTGGGGCTCCAATGCTGTCACCCAGCAGATACTTGTCTCCGAAGGTGGAGGAAGTAGGAGTGGCCAGTCGAGAGAGGAGAATGGCTAGGCCAATGAGCTTCTTTGAGTCTATCTTTTTTTTGAGCCACTTTATGTTTTTTTCTAAGACTAACTTTGTTGTAAGTTTTGTTTTATTACAAGACTATCTTTAATTTTCTTAATTTGTAATGTAAGTGATCATAGACTATAAGTAGTATGGTCATTTTTTTAAAAAAAAATTAGATGGATTAGATATAATAAATATCTAAAACTTAGATATTCTCTCCTGATATAGAATACGAGGTAAAACTATAAAATAACACTAAAAATGCTGTTTAAGCATTTAAAATACTTTCTTTTGGGAACTGCCTGCAGATTCATTGCATATTTAAATAAAATCTATACTTCATGGTGACAAATCATTGTGATTTAAGGGTGGATTTGATATTTGGAACTGGAGCCAAATCTGAAGGGTGAGGCATTCAAAGTGAGTAGTGTCATTTATGGTCAAACACAAACTACAGCAATAAAGAAATGAGACTGGTTTTCTTACATGGCTCCTAAAAGACACTGAAGACAGTCTACTTAAATTTTTTAGAGGTTCTGGAAATATTCTGAACAATGGCAGTATTGGTGGAATACTCCAGTATAGCAACTAAGACCTGCCTTCTGTTTGTCTGTTGACATCTGTGCTTCTCTGACTCGACTAGAAGTTCACTGAGGGCAAAGACAGAGTATTTTCATCTATGTGTCCACAGCACCCAGCTCACTGCCTTGCCCCAGTGGTTGCTCAATACAAGTTGGCTGACTGAGTGAATATGAAGTATCTGCAGGAAACCGTTCTTCATCAGTATTAAGAAGCTCCCGAGAACATGCTGACAATGCTTGTGCCGAGGAGCCACACCCTCCCTCCACGCTCCCTGCCTTCTGCTGCCATGTTGGTTTAACCACAAGGGAGGAAATAAAATCGTTCTGTGCCAGTTGTACCATCCATGTGAAAATCCCACAGGCACAGCATTATCTCACTGCTACGGATCTCTATTTACCTCTTCTCCAGCTCTCCTTCTTCCTAAGCCTGGACCCCGTTTGCTTTTGCCCAGTCCTCGGCTGATTACATGTCTGGCTCCAACATCAATTATTCCATTTCCTCCCTACTTGCCTCCCCCCCTTACCTTGCCAAATCCTAGTATGTGCACAGTTCCTCCCTGTTCCCATAGACTCTCCTGAACTGAGAGGAGACGGGATGTGCCTCAGCAGCTACCTTGCCATGAGTCATATCTGAAATCCTGCCAGCGAGGAGGGTTGGGTCTGAGGGTGGGGGCATTTTCACTGGTTGTTAGAAAATGGGCACAGGGAGGGGTGGGGGCCAGACTGGGAGCAATAAAAGCTGGTGAGATAGCTAAGGACTGAGCTAATTAACCAGAAGCAAAATGCTCAACATGGTCTATGTGGGGATCTGTTTTTAGATGCACCTATAAGGTCACTATGAATCGGAATTGACTTGATGGCCACGGGTTTGGTTTGGTTTTTGGTTTCCCAAAAGAGTCCCCTTACAGCTCTCAGTTACAAATTTCCATGTGTAATAACCACACACTGCCCATCTGATAACACTTCAAGTCAGTGAAACATGATATGAACCTGGGAGTGAAGTAGACATGGCAGGTATCGTCATTCCTGTTGTACAAATGAGAAGATAGATGCCCAGAGAGGTTAAGAGGTTTAGCCAAAGTCACAGAACCAGGCCTAGAACCTAAGTCTTCCAACCTCTGATTCAATAAGATCTTGCCTGGAAAGACATGTAACTTTTGTATTGTCAGCCTGGTTATTCATTCTGACTTGGTCCAGTGGCCTGCCTTTCTTGGGTCTTTACACTAAGTCATTTTCTGAGTTTGCATTATCATCACCCCTGTGTCAAAGCCCTTTATTGACACCTGTGCCTGATCAACCAGCTTAATGGGCTCAGTCAGCTGTATATATGTGGCATTGAGGGTGTCAGTTGACATCAAGAGTCAGGGGGGAAAGAAAAGGAGGGAAATAAATTCGCAGCAAACCTAGTTAACTTTTCCCTTTAGTCCTCAATCTGTAACAAGAAAGACATATCCTCCAAAATCAGCCCCGAGAAGAATTTAGGAAGGAAGGAATCAAACTAATGACATAAAGACACCAGACTCATAAACTATCCACCCTCTCCCTTGCCCAGGACCTCAGGACCTTCAACAATCAGGGTGACACCTGTGAGCAATGTTGGCTCAAAGCAAATACCACTGAAAGGAGCCTCAAGAAGTCAGCGTGCTCAGCTTCCCTTGTAAAAACAGCCTCCATCCCCATCTGTACCATGCCTTAAGGGTCTCAGAAAGGAATTCCCAAGAATGATACTGGTTAATGTTGAAATCAGTGAAAGTAAATGAAAATCATAGAATTTGGGGACTGCAAGAAGCCTTGGGTGTCATCTAGTTCAGCAGCCCTGATTCATAGTAGAAGACAACTCTTGCCCTGGCTTGTAGGGTTGTATCCAGAGCATTTAGCACAATGCTTGGCACAGAGTTAGGGCTCAACAAATATCTGTTCAATAAATAGATGGATGGGTTGAGACAGAGGGTTGAGATTACATAGAAAGATAGTGACTGAGTCAGAATTAAGGGATCTAGAATCATCTCTATCCATGTTAATTAAAAAAAAAAAAAAAGTCTTAAGAACTATTAACAGCCAGGCTTTTTTCACGCACATTATCTCATGTAATCCAGACAATAACCACAACAGGTAGACTGTGTTATATTCACTTTACATGTGACGAAACTGAGGCCCAGATGTTGAAGTCATTTGCCCAAGAGCTAGAATTTGAACCCAGGTTTGGCTGACTGTTACAAACTCCAGCACGTTCCCCTCCAGCACGCAGTCACTTATTCAGGAGTCACTGAGGTAGACTTGCTTTCCTGGTCTCAGAGGACCTCTAGATCCCCCTCCTTGACCATCAACACATACTGAAGAGAGCGCCCCCTTTAGGATTTCCTAGAAACATCTAAATTGGTCTACAAATGGACATAGACAATTCAAACTTCTCTTAAATCTATGACTAATTAAGACAAATTGGGAAAAGAAAAAAAATTTTTTGAAGTATCTTCTTTTCTTAATGCTTTTTCCTAAAATGCTCTCATTTGGGACATTCAGAAATATCCAATCAGCCCAAACAGGAGGCTGCATTAAGAGCCACCGATGAAATAATGGCCAAGTGAACAGACCTGGTCAGAACCGGTAAGCCTTACTTCACAGACCAAAGCAGCCCCCTTCCCACCTGCATCACCCTTCTTAGTATCCAGTGCAGGTTTTCTCAACCATAAACCCCAAACCAGCCCCACAAACACTCCAAATCTTTTTGAATGGAAGCAGTTCCTTACCGGATATCCCCATGAGCCATTTCCTGCCTGGAACTTGGAGTAGTAGGTGTTCCGGTTGGTGGTCCCATAGTTATTGTAATTGTCAGCCAAGCCATCGTACATGGAACCTTGAGGGCAAAGGAAGGGAGTTAGGAAAGTGATGGTCATGCTCTTCACCACCCCTCCTCCCCAGGGTGTCATTTCTGCATGTAGGGCCACGATGCCCCATGGAGGAGACCAGTCTGAGCTCCTGGAGGAGGAGGAGGGTAGAGATGTCACCAGTGGCCACCTCCGTCTAATCACCACATCCTCCACAGCCAGAGCCAACAGAAGGGCCAGCAAGACTGCTGTGGAGACAGCTCTGAGAGTTTTGGCCAACTCCTTCCTCGGGGCCTAATCGCTGCCCTCCTGCTTGGGCTAGTCCAGTCGACACCTACAGGCAAGGAGTTGGCTTGGAGGGCCTCTGAGCACCGCTGTTCCATTCCAAGGTATCACAACTCCATGTTCCACAAGGATAAGCTTCCCACCCAGGGAAGGCTGGCAGGATCTCGACATTCCAGGTCTAGAACACTGAGGTCAGGGCCACAGAGCAGCCATGACTGGTTAGTCTGAGTTGGGCAGGACTCTGGTTTCAAATCTCAGCCCGGCCCCCATCAGTGACCAGGTGACCTTCCACCCCCTCCTTCATCTCCTAGGTGCTCCAGTTGGTAAAGGGGGAGCAGTGATCAACCTCAAAGCGCCTTGGTGAGGATTAATTAATGTTTTTGGAGACCTACAAATGATAGGCTCTGTGGGAGGACAGAGTGTCATTAGGGTTATTAATGACAAACTGGCTTTGAATTATAGAAAGCAGAACTGGATTTTGGTCTCCTGGTGGGTCCACCCCCCTTCTCTCCCCTTCACGAGACGTGAGGGGGGCCTGAAAGGACAGCTCCAACTCCATGCAAGCTGGTCTTCTCACCATCCATGAAGGTGTGTTGCACCTCCATGACTGTGCTCACACAGTCCCCTTGCAGAGATGGCCTTCCCTCCCTGGTCATAACCATGTAATTCACCCAGTTTACCAAGCCAAGCTCAAGACCCCGCCCCCTCCAGGAAGCCTTTTCTGACCAGTCCTGCTCAAAAAAAAGCTCTTCTGCCTCTGAACACATACTGTCTTGCTGTGTGTACCCCAAGTCACATCCTGCCTCGTGTCCCATTCCCTCAGCTAAACCATGAACTCCATGAGGGGCAAGCCATGTCCCTATGGTCTGGACATCCTCTTGTTAAATGATGGGGTTTGGGAGTAAAGGTAAGCTCCAATGGGAGCCTTCAAGAGGAATATGTACTCTTTGTGTCTAAAGTTAAGTCTCTGGGTGGCATAAATGACTGTTTGGTTACTAACAGAAAGGTTGCCTGTGTGGAATCCACCCAGAGATGCCTTGGAAGAAAGGCCTGGTGATCTACTTTTGAAAGATCACAGTCATTGAAAACCCTGTGGAGTGCAGTTCTACTCCGAAATTCACGGGGTTGCCATGAGTTGGAATAGACTCGTCGGCAGCTGGTTTAGTTTTTATTTTCATTTTTTTAATCTCTAAAGCGGTGACCTCACGAGTGTTGAAGTATAATTGTGCTCGATAGAGTTTTCAATGGCTGATTTTTCAGAAGTAGATCCCCAGGCTTTTATTCCAAGTCACTTCTGGGTGGACTTGAACTTCCAACCTTTTGGTTAGCAGCTGAGAGCATTAACCACCTGGGTCTTCATGAGTTGGAGTTGACTCAATGGCAGCTGGCTATCTCTAAAGTGATGGAAGACTCCCGCATCAAAAACCTCATCTGGAAGAAGAGGGTTTGATGGTGATTTCATCTGGCTGCCAGGAGCCCTGGTGGCACAGTGGTTAAGTGCTCAGCTGCTAACAGAAAGGCTGGCATTTCAAACCGACGAGCTACTCTTCGGGAGAAAGATGTGGCAATCTGCTTCTCTGAAGATTATAGCCTTGGAAACCCTATGGGGCAGTTCTACTCTGTCCTATACCAAAACCCGTTGCCGTCGAGTCTATTCTGACTCATAGCGACCCTATAGGACAGAGTAGAACTGCCCCATGGAGTTTCCGAGGATCGCCTGGTGGATTCGAACTGCCAACCTTTTGGTTAGCAGCCATAACACTTGACCACTCCGCCACCAGGGTTTCCACTCTGTCCTATAGAGTAGCTATAAGTCAGCATTGACTTGACAGCAATGGGAATGGGCTCATCTGGCTAAATTAACCCTGCCCTCCATCTGCCACGCCCACTCAGACTCCCAAGCCTTTTCCAGGGACTGGAATATCTGAACTGGGCCTTCAGCACAAGAGAGTAGAGGGAATAGCAAACGGGAAGCTTTGGAATGAGGCAGACATTCCTGCCTGGGACCACCTCCTCTGTCCAATGTCAGATGTCCATCCCATAACTCACAAGGCAGGGGACTGTCCCCGAGCCTCCCCACTCCATCATGGCGGACCAACTGGGCATTAGGGCTATTGGGCTGTGGCAGAGAGAACTTCCCCTGGGAACCAAGAGATGCTGAAATTGGTCTTGACTGTGGCACTTGAGCAAGTCACTTGCTCTTTCTGGGCCTCGCTTCCTCTTCTGTAAAAAGAGGAGTTGGCCTCTCTACACCCCAATGACCTCATACAGCTCCAGCATCGTCGTATGGTTGTGTGATTACAATAACACATTGCTGATGGCATTCAGAGAAGTCCAACTTCCCTTCTCCAGAGAGAGGGCTCGGCTCACGAGGAAGAAGGGCTCACATCAAAGGCTTCCCACCGCCTCCTTTACTGCCTGCCTCAGGGTCATCACAGAATCCTTCCCTGATCCCTGAGAGGTAAGCCCCAGGCATCCCCACTCTCATAAGCTCCATGTGCAGGCTAGACTCCTGAGGGGACCGCACCCTGTAAGTGACATCCGGGGTCTCTGCCTTGTGGCCCCCTGAGCCTCTGACTTACTGTAAGTGCTTGTTGAATGCAGGCAGCGGTGCCTCTCTGTGTCCCAGAAGCTGCCCCTCTGGAAAGGCTACCTTCACCAGGAGAAGACTGGAGGCAATCGCAGAGCCCAGACACCCAGAACTAGCTTTCAGGGAAAGCGAGGCTGCAGCCACACATGCCCCATCGGGACCCTGGGCTGCTGATGGCCAGTCTCACTCCCCTCCCGCCATCCTGCCCACTTCAATCCTCCTTCCCAGCACTTGACAGGCTGGCGTTTGCTTGGCTTTCACTCCATGAGTGGGTATTTCTCACCAAAGGGCAGGTGTGGGTCAGCCAGCTGATTCTGGATGCAGAGTCTGGGGTGGTGACAAACAGCTCCACAGAACCCAGGGGAGGCCTCCTGCTGGGAGAAGCTCACACTGGACCTCGCCCCTTCTGAGAGGCAATTGGTCTGCAGTGCCGTCCACCTCCCTCGAAGTCATCTGGATGAAGCAATTCTTCTCCACTCCTCCCTCAACGCCCTGCCCCTGCCTCTCACACACTCTTCTCTGTGTGCTGGGTGTGGTGGGATCTCTCACCACGAAGGCAGGGTGGACAAGGTGACCTCTGAAATGCATATAATTCTAAAACCCAGTCCCCATGTCCCTGTGGGGACTCTGGTGATGATAAGTGTGGGTGGGCCAAGAGCTCTCGGCCCTTCCAGGCAGCTCCTGAGGGTATTCTCTAAGATCCACCTGTAATCAGGGGTCAGACAGCCCCATTCCTACCTTAACTCGCTTTGTGTGACTCCCCCGTGAGGGTGAAGCTGCCTCACGCTAGCCAGCACTGCTTCTCAGGCAGAAGGCAAGCGTCACTTGGGGATGAGGCAGCATGGGAGCGGAGGGGTCCGGAGACATTACATACCTGTAGTCACACCTTGCAGTATGCCAGATAACCAAGGGGTTCAGGTAAGCTCTGTCTATAAGATTCCCATGTCCACAATAGAATCCCATATTCCCCTCTCCTGACATTGGGATGTCTGGCTGGTAAGTAACACCCTCTGAAAGTCAAGTTCAACAGCAAGAAAATGGAGCTTCTCAATGAGTGCAATGGTGATAGCTCTGAAGGCTTCCACTGCTCCACCTGGTCCCCTGACTTGTCTAGAACTCACTTCTTCTGGGAAGCCTTCCCTGATGAACTCCACCTGGTCCCATCGCCCCTGGTGGGTCATCCTCTCTGTAAAGGGGCAGGGTAACTGAAGTCATTTCTCCACCAACATGTGCTTTGGGAATCATATTTCTTCTTTGCTCAGGATCTTGGGCACCGGGCACTGCTCAGGCTAGGGCTGGGCCTAACTGGACTGAGCTGGCCCTTTCGGTCAGCCAGCTCTTGTCCCCTGCCCACCCTTATGGTGAAGGTGCTCAGATGCCTGGTGTCTACAGGCTGAACTTCCCCATTTACCTGCAGAATGGAACCAGAATTTTACTCCACCAGGTCCTCCTCCTGCCCAAAGAGCTCCCTGGCAGTGGGTAAACTAGGGAAGAAACAGGAGCCAAGTGCAGCTCCAGAACACTCCAAGGCCATCTCTTTGAGGAGGATTCTTGGTCCTAAAGAAGGCGAGGGAAGGTGACCCGACACCCAGCTGACCCCATAGAATCACTCCCTATCCTCCTAACCAAGCGTTTCCCTTCTACTGTTCTTTTCAGATGGGCGCATACACTTCAAGCAAAACGCCTGTTCAATTTCTGCATCATTCCAAGAGCATTTGCTCACCCCTAGGACCCGAAGGTCAAAGGTCAAATGTCTCAGAGCTTATACTGCTTTCCTAATATACAAGCAATACAAGCTGTCTGTCCACATAGCTTGTCTCATTTTATGCCAGTGTTTCAGGGTGTGTAACCAGACCCGGAGGGAAAGTGTCTCAGAAAATCTACCACTCAGATGATCAGCTTCCCTGGATGCTGCCTCCCTTTGCTATCTCACCTGATTCGCTCTGTGTCATAGGGGCAACCCAAGCTTTCTCACCTACAACAGCTTTGAAAATGGAGGCAGTTCCTTCATTATTATATGTGGAACTCTTTCTCCAATGGAGACAGGCAAACCTTTGCCAGGATGACTCATCCTCTTCCACCTCCAGGCTTTCAAACAGGGCACACCCACTGCACCTGAAGCATTCTTTCTCTTCTTCTCAGCCAAGCCCTCTC